AGCTCTGTCCCTCTCGCGCTCCCGGGGCGTCCTCTGTGGGTGCGAGAGAGGCAGAGCGACGAGGACGACTCTCGGAATCAGTCTGCTGCCGCCACACACCAAATACTCCTCTCACTCCCGGCCGACAAATTGCTCCCATTACAACGCCTCAGATTCCACAGCAGCAGCAGCGGAGCTACAACACTGCTACCCAGATGGGGCGCCAGATAATGCGCGCCGAAGGGGTGCCACCGTACCGGCAGTGTACCTGTCCCCAACAGCGATCCGTCCAGTGTGGTGTCCAGTCTGAGGCCGACCGCCAGGACGCAGTGCTATGCCACCAGCAGAGCAGCAGGCTGATGCCGGGAGTCCTTTTCGTCGCTGTCTCTCTCGCACTCATTGAGCGCCCCCTATATGGGAGAGAGCGCGATGAAAACGACTCCCAGTGTGCAGGGCGACATGTCAGGCGACTGCTCCTGGCGTGCTTACCAGGGTCTAAGAATCTTCCCCTCGAGAAATCGATCGAGACGGTCGCGTGGGCTGAGGCATATATCGCGTAAGCACTCTAAGAGTGATGGCGTTCTCGGGTTCGAATCCCCGCTAGGGCGAAAACAATTTCGTCTCCTCTTTTGCAACGGCTGACGCGGCACAGAATGTGCTGTAGGTCACGAGACGGCCCTGCCGGCGGGCGGTACGCCTCTTAGCAGTGTTGTAGCAGCCGCAGGTGTCCTCCGCGCATCCGGCCCACGGAGCCAAGCCTTGTCAAAATGACTTATTTCTTGTCGCAGCGCTATTAAATTTCTATTACGGGCGCACTCGCTCCTCACGGCCACCCGCCGCCGCCGCCGTTGCGAGAGAGGAGCCAGCAAGCAGCCCTAGACGACTCATCCTGATGAAGATGATGATCATCATGACGAAAGTCGTAAAAATAGTTGCAGCAGCCGACGCCGTTTTTTTCCCGCGTCCTCCGCAAGTCAGTCACCGCAAACAGCTTCTAAGAAAATAAAAGCGCCTGCCTCGCTCCGCTCCATATTGGTGTTTGCCCGTGACCTCCATCAAGCCGCTAGCGCCTCATCGCCGAGCAGCGAATCTCAAGCGAGGCATGAAGCCGAGATAGCGCGGCAGGTAAACACGTCGTCAGCACGCTTATCGCGCACATTGTAGCCCGACTATTTACCTCCCTCCATTTTGCATTTTGTTTTGTTTCTATTTTTCCGAGCGACGTCCGAGGGGAGCGGGGCGCTGGCGGCGCTGGGGCGGCGGCGGTCCGGCGCTCGCGCTTCCGACATCAATTAGAAGCCGGAGGTGTGGGCAGCGCCACTGGCGGCGCCAGCGCGCCAGCGTGCGCCAGCCACGCAACAAGGCGGACGCACCGACGGCGACCTCATCCCCAACGAGGAAGGGCGCACGCGCGCGCGCGCGCACACACACACACACACACACACACACACACACACACACACACACCACACACACACACACACACACACACACACACACACACACACACAGAGCCGGCGCACGCAAGCCGGAGTCCGAGCAAGCTGCGAGGCTCCGTGTCGTCGGTTCGAGGGTGTGGTGGATCTCGAGTTCAGCTCCTGGTGGTCTCCACGATGGCGGTCTCCGTGATGGCGTTGGTGGCGGCGGGGGTCCGGTCCGCTGTCACCCAATCAGCGCCACCACACTGTATGTACCTCACGCCGAGCCGGACACAGAGGTCCTTCCTCCCAAAAGTAACAAAACGCTCCTCTGCTTGCTTGCCTTCCCGCAAACAAGGCTCTCCATCACCCACTGCGTGTGCACGGGGCTCGCAACCCGATCCACTGCCAACAGCATCGCACGCGCGCGCACACACACGCACACACCTGACGCAAGCCCGGCTCCGCTCTCCACCTGGCGCGGCTGGCCCGGCACTGCCCGCTCGGCTCGTCTGCCGGAGTCTCTCCAGCGACTCAGTGAGCATCGCATTGCGCAAGCCGTGACCTCACCGCCCCGCCTGGCCCCGCCGCCCGGCGTCACGGAGCCGCATTTCCAATCATCGGCCATCAGCCAATCAGGGCTGCTTCCAGCGAGCTTCCAGATTCCTCCTCGCTGGCCTCTCCAGGCGCCTCCCAGGCTCCGTCAAGGACACCCAGCGCCGCCGGCCAGACCACAGGCAGCCGCTAAATTTCCTGGTCAGCGAGTTGTTTTGGTGCTTTTCCTCGGCAGAGTACGCGCCACTGAAAATGACAGGGCCTGCGGTAATGCGTCCCCCACCCGTCCGTCCGGCCAGGCGCCAAGCGACACTCCACTGGAAGGCCGTCCGAGACTGCGACTCGTCCTGGCTCGCTGGCTTGTCTTGGCTCCCCCGGGCTCGGGCTGCGAGTTGATCAAACAGAGGGTTTTGGCGCGTAGGTGCGCTGCAGAGGGCGCCTTTCTTGCGAGGACTTGGTAGTGCAGGACCTCCTGCAGCACGGCGTGCGGCATGGCCGTCGTGGCGCGCTGCCAACAAGCCGGCCGTGGACGAGGTGAGTGCAGTGGCGGCACTGCAGGCAAACTGAGAGTCGTTTCCGTCGTAGAGATGTGCGAACAGCCGAGTTCGAATTTGAACGAACACGAACACTTCCAACTTCCAAAGCCTTCGAACGATCCGAACTGAACAATTTCAGAATTTTCTCGAACGAACCGAACGAACAAGGTTTTTGTTCAGATTCGATCGAACACAAACATTAAAGAAATACTGAACTAGTTTGACAAGTATTGAGTAGTTATAAAATAGATACAAATCACAACTGAATAAATCAATCATTCAAGAAACCGCAGCAAGCTCAAGTTTAATTCCGATGGGGATGGGGGCACACAATGGTTGGTTGCGTAAACTGTTGCTATTATTATTGACTTTTTAAATCTGAGGGATAAGATACTGAATTCCAGACATGCATTTATAGTAGAGAATGAAATATTTACTCAGCATGACACTTCAGTTCAGGCATATGCTCAGTCCATACCTGCTGGATGGAGAGGTTCACTTTGTTTGGCTTAGAGCATTGAAGCTTGTTCACAAAAAGATAAACAAAGTGACGTGAAAGGAAAGGTCAAACTAACCTTCCTCCCAACCGAATTCCATACTCATAAAACATACCAAACCATGTACAGTAAAGAAACACGAAAGTTAAACTATTAAAGGATAACCAAGTCAAAACAAGGAGCCATATTGTATTTGTTTTCGAGGTGACCGTTCCAGTTGAGAGACGAGAGCGCACCACCCCTACCCCTCCGCCTTCTATTCGTTCCGCTACCATCATGTGATGTGAAGCACCCACTACCCACCTAGTGTAAACAACCCCAAAGCAGACATCAAAAAGACCAGTGGAGAGGACCAACAAGGACCAATCATGTTTAAAAACAAAGTTATTGTTTGGTGTAGTTGGGTTACCTGTTGTCTTTTATTTACTGAGTTAAATGCAAAGAATCCAAAACGACACCTGTCGCGTGTTCAGGCATGAACATAATCTGTTCATTTTTTCGAACAGTTCGGGGTCGAACACCGCGAGTTCGGGTTCGAGCGAACCGAACAGTCCCGCTGTTCGTTCGAGTTCGCTCGAATGCGAACATGATCGCACATCTCTATTCCGTCGCTGTCTCTCTCGAACCTATGCGCGAGCCCTATGAGCACGAGAGAGACAGCGCGACGAAAACTCGGAATCAGTCTACTGCGGCAGAAGAGCCCTTTTCAAGAGGATCCCCAGCGGTGGCGCCAGCCGCACACATTTGCAGAGCGCGCAGGGCAGGCCATCGGTATTCGAACCACGTCCCGGCACGCCGAAGGGTCCCCGCGGTGTTGGCCGTGCCGGTGGGCCCGGTGAATTACTTTCTTCTTTAGCGATAAGGGTCCCAGCGGACTGCATTACCCATGCAGCCCGGGTGGCGGTGCGCGCGGTGCGTCGCCGCAGCAGCTTGGGAGTGGCCCGGTGTGTTGGTAAGCCTTGCGCGGCCGATTCGGCGGCGAGTGCTGAGCTCCGACTCCTCTGCAGTGTCACGGAGCGGCGACGCAGCGTCCGAGACCCCGAGACCCCGGCCACGCGGCGGTCAATCTGATACGGAACCTGGGACGCACCTTGGCGCCAGCGCGCCGCTGCCGGCTCGTGGGCGTGGCGCGGTCCGCTCTGCCCGCTCTGCTCCGTTAGGCGAGACGCCGACTGTGACCTTCTCCGCCGAGACGCGGCTGGACGCGGCCCGCTCTGCCATGTCACAGTGTCGTGGCACACATGCCGGCCCGGTGGTGCCCGGTGGTGCCCGGTGGTGCCCGGTGGGCGCGCCGACAGGGCATTCAATCAACAGAGTTGACTCATCTTCCAGCGCGCTGCTCTTCGGCTGCCAGTGGCCAATCCGAAGGGTTGCTTCGTCTCTCTGTCCTTCTCGCGCCCCTACGGACCGCCGGATGAGTGCGACAGAGACAGCGAGCGACGAAAGGCCTCTTCGGCAGCAGCCTGCCGGGGAACAAAATTGCCCCGGGCCGGCCTTAGGGCGGCCCCCCACGCCCCCTCCTCGCCGTGGGCCAACAAAAGGAGCGTCTTCTACCTGTTCCCTCCCGCACCTGGGCCTCAATCAGTACCCGTCGGGTTTAGTAGCCGAGGCTTGCACCGCTGAATCATCGTCGCCGTGGGTGTGTGCACAGAGTTGTGGGGCATTTGTTTCTTCTTGCGTGCGACCAACCAGAGAAAAACAACACACCATCAAACACTACACACACGAACAAGATCCCCGTCATGACATAAACGTCACTTTCACTGCGACGCGAGGTTTAAGGTAATGACAGAACAAAACTAGCTTCATGAATCTACTTTATTGGATGCGAGCTACATGCATTACCCACAACCGTAAGGCCGTAAACACAACCATCAAGCAGCGCAGACACTTGCCGTCCAGTCGACACCTCAGATGTGACAGTTCGCCGGGGCTGCTTTCCCGCAACTCGCCTCTAATTTCCCGTGTCCCGGCGCGTCACTGCGTCGCACACAAGTGACAGCGGCGACACTCACCTGTCACAGTGACGATGGGACGATGGTCGTCGTCGAGCTGAGCTGGATGCACTAGGTGCGCTTCGCCCCGTCCTCGGACTGCACGGGCCGCGCACAGCCACGCGACGGCTAGACGGGTGCTCCACAACCAATCAGCCGGCGAGTCTTGTCCGGCTTGCCGCTTGGCTTGCCGGTCCCGACAAGGCCGGTCCTTGCACTCGGCAGCGATTCACTCTTTGCACTGACACCCTGACGAGCAAACGCTGTCAGCCTCGCCGGCGACGCCGCACCGGCACTGCCTGGCACTGCCCCGATCACAACAATGCACAGACACTCACTCACTCACTCACACCAACACACAACACTGCACTGGTTAATCCAAGAAAGGCGGTAGCGGCAACGCTGCAGAGTGCGGTGCACACGGCCGACACGGCCCTGGAATGTCCGTGCCGCAGTCCGCAGTGCGCGGCACACCGGGCACACCGCTCCTCTCGCGAACGAAGCGAAAACCCCCGAAC